AGAAGAAGAAAAAAAAAGAAAAACACATGCATGTGCTTTAACGCCAAGCTGGAAACATTTTTATATGAATTTCTGGCTGCGAGAGAAAAAGGTGTAGGGTTTTTATTATTTTAAAAAGAAATTAAATTTAGAGCTGGTGGAGTGTAAACTAAAAAAAAAAAAATCATCAGTGGCAGCAGCATGGTAGGAGAAATCTTTTTTTTTTTTTTTTTTAATTTTCCTTTAGCTTGGTAAAGTTGTGCGTAAAAGGCGCACCACATGTATGGGCACTTTTAGTTTTAACTAGCACCGAGAGAGATAAAAAAAAAATGTGACTTTTCGGGGCTGGTTTTTTGAATTTTGAAATATTAAAGCTGGAGAAACCAGGCCACGATGGCGCGCTGATAACCGGCTGCCATCTGATCTGTCTTTATGGATATATTCTGAGGTCGACATATTTAGGAGCGGGGAGGAGTAGCGGTGACTGTCATGACAGCGCATCTTGTTAATAACCATGTCACCCTAATTAGTAAAGTAATTATGAGGTGCTAATGAGCGTTCAAAGGTAGTAGAAATTCAGCACTTTTTTTTTTTTTCTTATCCCCTCCCGACGTGGATGTGAGGGACGTGGAGATGTGGAGGGAAGCGGGCTGACAGAGTGAGTGCACAGGGAGGCTGGAAGGTGCTTCTCTCCGGATGATGCCACTTCTCGTAGGTAGGTGAACGCCGCTGCACGGCTTCTCTTTTTTTATTTTTGTTTTTGGTGGATATGTGTAATTTCTCTCAGACGGATTTTTTTTTTTCCTTTCTCCACAGACATCACAACCTTTTCCTGGAATTTGTGGATGGATCAGCTCCTGCTATTATTCTTTCTTTTTATTATTATTTTTCTTTCTCCTTTAGCAGGTTTTGCAGGAGAGAGAAAAAAAATGGAGCTGATGATGATTATTCATAAGAGGCGGATTGATGAAGATTTTATGCAGCTCAGAAATCCGGATTTGTAGGTTTGTTTTTTGATTTATTATTATTTTGTAAATATAATAATGTGCGAATTTTTATCCATTAACATTTGGAATTAATTTTTATTAAATCGGTTTTTTGCTTTCAAGTAATTGTGAAGATATTTATTTCAAATTACAAAATAACCTGTATGATTCTTTTAATTTGTCAGTTGCACCATAAAATAAAGATATTCTACTTTTAATACTAATTCAGATTTTATTATCAGCAGGCCATTTTTGATATTTGAACATTTTGGCACACTTTCCATTTAAAATTTAACCCAAGCATTTATTTAAAAAATAATAATAATAATATTTTCTCATTGCATTTAAACCAACTCTTTAATTTTATCTGATTGTCTTTAAATGAAACGTGCGGTCGAGCTGAGCGGCAGACAGTTGGATGAGGTTTAATCCGTCTCTCGGTCGGTGTGCGTCCTTCCTCCCGCGTCAGACGCAGGCAGAGTTTGAGCGCAAGGCGGCGACAAAGCGAGGCCACAGTCTGCTGGAGTGAAGTTCATGAGCACGTCTGAGGCCTCCGCTGCCCATTCAGTGAGCCGCTTCACATTTCACCACAACTTCATTTGAAATAATCATCCAAACCCTGCGACAGTCACGGCAGTTTTTACGCGCAAAGTGGCACACGGAGCCATTAAAAAAAAAAAAAAAAAACGTTTCCCGGAGACCAGCGCAGAGTCAATTACAATATCCAGTCCAGGCTGTAATTAGGCCTTTTTTTCTCCCTAAACCTTATTCCCTACAAATCGCTCAGATCAGATCAAAGCGATGCTTAAACACGTCAGTCAATGTGTGCAGAGGCGCACGGGCTGCTCATCAACTGAAAACAGGAACAATCAATCGCTTTATTAGGTTTTCTTTTTTTTTTTTTAAGGCGCCGCGGGAGCAAATTGAACGCTACCAGTTAGTGTATCGTGTTATTGGCCTCAGCTGATGGTCGATGATGGGACGGTGTAACGGTGGCTGGCACCATATTGATTCTCTGGCGGCTTTGCGTGTAAGCTGTCACTTCACCGCTGGCGACCTTTAGGTTGCACAGTTGCGGCGTTTACAGAGGGACACCCCCGCATTTAGACTGTCAGTCACTGCGGAGGAAAAGGGGGGAGGTTGAGGGAGGGAGGGAGGGTGAGGGAGACTTGGGGGAGGAGGGTGCAGGCAGGGAGGCAGGGAGGGAGAGCCGGACATCCTCAGAAGAGACGCACGAGTTCTAAACGGCACGTGGGAAAAGTTTTATTCTAAATTAGCCAAAAGATCAGCTCCTGCAAAATTAGAATAAACTGGTTGTTTGTTGCCTCATTATGATTTATTTATTTATATTTTAATTTTCAACGTCATGATAAGCAGGATCCAATCAGGACAGACGAGGGGGAGGTTTGAAATTACGCATGCACAAAAATTACAGTTTCTACAAATTCATAGCCTCTAACTTTAAACAAAAAACCTCTGTTACATTTTCTCTATTAAGCTAGAATAAAATAATTGAATAATATTTAAAATTCCACGAGACAGTCAAAAGTGAGGCTAAAAAATAGATCATAAAATATCCATTCACCACTAAATAAAAGAATTCCAGTCACATCCACTAACTGGAGCAATTAGAATAACTCAAACTGAAGCTGCATGACTCAGTGGATAAATCTGACATTATGTGGAATTACAACTACAATACTGTATTTACATGAATTGAATTATCATTTCCTTGTACACACTTTAAATCAGAAGCCATCAGTGCGTGAAAAAGGCTCCAGTGTCAGTGTCAGCGTGTGAGAGACGAATCTGACCGTCCCATCAAAGTTGTCCTTGACAGATGGTCGAGGGGGAAATGATATCGATTAAAAGCTGCAAAAGGACAAGCTGTCTGACGGTATGTATGGAGTCAGGAGCTGGCAGTGACCGATCAAACCTGTATCGCCAGCAGCTCAATGGTTTCAACCACAAGAACTGCTTCCAACTAAACACGTAAATAGTTGTTTTTTTTATTTTTCTCAGCGTCCCAGGAGGACTTAAACCTAAAAACCCCAGAACAGAGTCGACGCCCATCAGTGCTGTGGTGACGACTTACTTCAGAAAATACAGAAGATGGTTTTAGCACCTTGGCACATTTAGGCCTTGTGTTTAGAGGAATCTCCAGCAAATATCACACACCTGATCTTTTTGTAGATGTGTGTGTGTGGTCAGGGGGGAGGCCAAGAGAGAATGATTTTGAGGAAAACCTTTAAAGTTTCATTTCCTCACTTCCTCGTATTTCCATCTCCAGTATTGTTGCCTGAGTTTGGGAGCGACTGCTTGACTCAGATTTGTGAAAGATGTCGCTGCAACAGTTTGCTCAACTTGCTCTCAACAAGACAAAACTGTAGCTTGCAAGAAGCTAAACATGATGATCGACTCCTGTTGTTCTGACAAGGAGACACAGAGTTATGTGCTGAAATCAAAAATCTGTCACTCCTTCCCAGATTTGAACAATTAATAACACTTTTCACCCATCATTTAGCATTAAGATCCTGTAAAACTCTTGTAATCACATTTTAATTTCTAGTTTTTCTTAATGCATTTATTGTTTTAGCTGCTTCATGACAAGTTAAAGTTGTCGTGTGTTATTTAAACTCTTTATTTACACACAAACAAATCATTCAGTCAAAACTTAACAACCACTTCCAAGAATTTTCAGCACACAACTACAATTTTTTTTTTTTAAATGCCTAAATTAGGATTTAAAGACGTTTATATGATTAACAGTTGAGATGCCACTTGATGCTGTGTAAACCCTTAACAACAGCCTTCTACAAGCTTCACAGTGCGTTTATGAACCTTTTACTCCCTGTTGAAATTCTGCTCATGAAAGCTAAATAAGAGCTGGAGGGGTTAAAATGAAGTGTTTTAATTAGTTTCTGGACTTGCCCGCTATTGATTTAACTTGACCTGGATACTGTAGTTGCCAATTTACGAGTTCAGACTTAATGACAGGCTGAACGCACGACTGTTTGCCTCCGTAAACAGATGAGTTATTAATGACACATCCGTCTGTTGTGGATGTTAAGACACTCACTCCTCCAACTATATTAGTGGTCAGATTACACATGCAGGACAACGTGTTCCTCCTCTGGCAAATATTTTTTTTTCATTTCGGCAGCAGTGGGAAAAAGGCTAAGATAAGATGATGCGATGATGGGAATCAAATTTCAACGCAAAATTACATCCTGGGAGCTTTGGAATTAAAGGTTACAGCGTGAGAGTGGTCTGACATTTAAGACAGACATACTGTATATTATTCCAACCTCTACACGTCACGCAGCAATGAAACATGTGACATTCAAGTTCAAATCTGAAGTGCAGGTTCGTATTATTCTGTGCCACGCAATT